CCGAGCAGGGAGCCCGATGCGGGACTCGATCCCGGGACTCCAGGATCATGACCTGAGCCGAAGGCAGTCGCTTAACCAACTGAGCCACCCAGGCGCCCGAGAACTGGTTCTTGTTTAAATATAAACCGATCTGATAATTAGCAAACAGCCCACTTCTGAAACAAACAAACAGGAGATTTGAACTCTATCGGCCCCACCCTGGACTCCTCCCTTCCCACCTTGCAGCTATTGGGAGGGAAGGAGTGTTCCAAGGGCCCTGGGAGTGGGATCCTCAAAGGTACAGGGCCACCTGGCATCCCTGTCACTAAGAATGCGGCCTCCCAGTGAGATTTACCTGCAGCCTTGTCACCTCCTAGCAGCCTCACAACTCCCAGGAAGCAGAGGCCGGGGAGACTGGGTGACATGCCCACAGCCATGTAGCTAGTAAGGGGTGGACTTCACACCCCTGCAAGTTAGGTCTGCCGGGCCCCAGCCACTTCCAGACAGCAAGAAGAGGGCATCAGAGAAATCAGAGGCTCCTGGGATGTGCCATCATATGTGGGCTGCCCCAGCCCTGCTCTAGGAGCTCAGAGCTTTCAGGCAAACAAAACGCTACCTTCTCTGCACAGGTCCGAAGACCAGTTCTGAAGACTGGCTGAATTCGCACCCTGTCAAAGCCCACCCGCAGGCAAGGCACTGGGAAGGTCTGAGGCCTAGGACTAGCATTTCCTGTACATCCCCTCAAAGACCGGGGCGCTGAGACACTATCTTTAATGGGCTCTCAGAGGACAAGGTAAACTCTGGAGCCCATTCCAACACCCCCACCAGAGTCATCCTACGAGCCAAGAGGTTGAAAGGAAATGGGGGACTCAGGCCAGCCGCCACTCTCCTCCAGTGAATCACAGGCCCTGTCCAGCCCCTTCCCCCGATTTTAAATGGTCATTTGGAAATCACACCCAGCAGTCCAGGAGGCTGAGAACAGCTAGGAGCCAATTCCTCCCAAGAGGGAACTGGGGCGGGAAGCCCAGCCTGGCTCTCCATGGCTCCTCATTCAGGACAGCCCAGCACTCCAAGTCCTTGGAAAAGCCCTCTGTTTCCAGGAGCTGGGGATGGCGGGAGCTGAATGTCTCCACCCCCCAGCTTCTCCTCTTGTTTAGGATCTTTACCAAGGGGACCAAGAAAGCGTCCCTCCCCCCACGGGTGTGTTTTCAGGGCAGGAAGGACCCTTGGAGGGCTTTAGTCCAAGGTGGGCTTATTATAGAGTTGGGGACACGGAAACCCAGAGGTAGGGCACATTTGCTCAAGGTCACCTTGCAGTTCAGAAGCAGAACTCAAGTTATCTGCCTTCAAACCCAGCCAATTTCCTCATATGGAATGTTCTCTGAAGATGCTCAAAACCAGACTCCTTGTATTATCAGAGAGACCTGGTTCTGACCTTGGCAAGCCACTGTCTACCTCTGAGCATCAGTTTCTTGTAAAAATGTAGATAATAAAACCTACCTCACAATATCCCTGGAAGACCTTCCTATTAGTGATAAATAACCTCAATGCACCTTTTAGAAGGAAGTTACATGCATGAAGTTATTCATTCATACAAACATTTCCTGAGTACTAACTAAGGGACAAGTATTTCACTGAAGATGAATAGAGCAGAAATCCCCCCACCCCCACGCCCTCGCCCGGTGTGGGTGGAAGTGGTATGTGTGATGGGGATGGGGAGGGCTGGGCTTACGACTCAGAATTTGGTGGGATATATGTATTAATTATCTCACAAACTAAGTTTCTTCAAGGGAGGGAATGCCTTAGATGTCTAGGGTTTCTACAGTCCCTTTCAAAGAGTAGGTATTTAATTATTAACAGAATACTTGGGCTGAAAACGGCATTCAAGGTCATTTGTTTCAAACCCCATTTTACAGATGGGGGAATATCAACCTCACAGAACCCTCTAAACCATGGCCCAAATATCCTTAGTGGTTCTCTGGGCTTCTAAGAATTCCAAAGAGCTCTCACTGGCCACTCAAGGGTCCCAGAGCCCCTGGGCTTCTGCCCCACTGCTACCTCGGTACAATCAAGGAGAGAATTCTCAAGGAGACCAGAAACATCTCTAAGCTAAAATACACTTCCCCAGAACCCACTGGGCCTGGTGCCACATCAGCAGGCTGTGCCCCTGGGGAGCAACACCTCTGGGGGGGTGGTCCGGCTCCCCAAACAAGGTTATCTTTAATTGGCTGGAGAAGGAGTGGCAGGAAGGCAGTTCAGGGGAATGCTCCCAGCTGGACAGGAAGAACTGGTTTGGGATAGCAAGCCCTGCCAGGGAAGAGGCTGGCTGCTCAGATTGGGTTCCCTTCCCAAAACTTGTGGCACCAAGCCCTCGGGGTGGGGGTAGGGTACCACCCAAGGGGAGGGCAGGCCTTTGGCTTAAACCTAAAACTTGGGGAGGGCCTCAGTAGCACTATTGGAGGGAGACCTCAGTGCCCTCATCTGTAAAGTAGGCATAATATAATCCCCACATGCTGGGCTTTTCGTGAGGATAAAATGCACCAGACCTGGCATTTGGAAAGCACTCAACAAATCATAACTGCAATCAGAAAATCCCTTCTCCCGGGGCGCCTGGGTGGCTCAGTCGTTAAGCATCTGCCTTCCGCTCAGGTCATGATCCCAGGGTCCTGGGATTGAGCCCCGCATCGGGCTCCCTGCTCTGCAGGGAGCCTGCTTCTCCCTCTCCCACTGCCCCCGCTTTGTTCCCTCTCTCGCTGTGTCTCTCTCTGTCAAATAAATAAATAAAACCTTTAAAAAAAAAAAAAGAAAGAAAATCCCTTCTCCCTGGGCCTGTTTTCTCCACCTGCAAAAAGAAGGCAGACCTCTCCATCATATCTATTCAGCTATGACTAGGTCTGATTTTTCCAGCCACAACCTTGGCAGGAAGGGGACAGGGGAGGGAAAGGGGGGAGCCCTGTGACCCAATTAGAGGTGGAAGGTCTGTGACATTCGCCAGGACACCTCTCTCCGGAAGCAGCTGCTCAGGGCCTACTTCTCCCCAGCTGATGGGTCACCATGCGCAGGGCTGACACAGCTGCCCTCCCCCAAACCATATCCTTCCGATGGCCCCCAGGACACAGCTGTCTGCTGCTCACCCTGAAGCACCTGCAGACTCAGCAGCCCCTGAACCGGGACTGCCATGTGACTGTCCACGCAATGACCTCACAACCTCCCGGGCCTTTCTTTTTCCCCCCACACACTGCCCAGGCCAACAGGACCCAACCTGGCATTCCTTCAGCTGTCTCCCCAGCTGCTTGACTCCAACACATCTCTCAGCGCCTAGTTCAGAGCATCGTACCAGGGAGCAGCAGGTGTAGGTTGGAGTCCTGGCTCAGACACTAACCTTTCGGTCAGGTTGCCCTTAGTTTGGGGAAGTCATTATCTCACTCTGGGCCCGTTTCCTTCCACCTCAGAATTTCTTGAGGCTGGCCAGCCCCCAATCTCAACAGATTCTAAACTCTTGAGTTACCTGAGGATGGGACAAGGGCAGCCACTCAGAAAACATCAGACTGCAGCTTATCATAGGAGCAGGAACTTGGAAGCCTGGCTGCCTAAATTTGAATGACTCAGACCCTTATTTGCTGTGCGACCTTGGGTAAGTCAGCTAACCTCCTCAGCCTCAGGACCAATTTAAGAACAGTAAACTGCCGGGTTGTCAGAATTAAGCTAGTTGACAGGCCATTAGAACAGCCAGTAAAAAGCTATTAGAACACCATAAAGCACACCATAAGCGCTAAATGTTTGCTATCATCACTGCTTGCCTGCAATTGTGCTGGCAGGTTATTCTCAGGGTCTCATTCCTCAACAGAAGCTGCCAGGCAGACAGGACTTTTCCCTAAGCCCAGAGAAAAAGAAGTCCCATAAAGGAATCGACAATGATTAAACTCCACAGACTTGCTCCCCCTAAAAACGGGGGCTTAAGGGCATGAAGGGGGCACAGAGCTGGGGTTCTTGGAGGGGGGTCCGATAGCCTCTCCCATCAATTCCCGTCCACCCAACCTCCCAGATGAAATTGCCACCCTCCTCCCCCCACTGGCCGCTGGGATGAATGGAGCTTCTGGTGGCCTACGGCTTTGTAAACTAGGACAGGGAACAGCGGGCAGTGAGGAGAGCTTCTCGGGGCTGAGACCTTCTCTCCCCCAAACCCCTTTACCCCACTCAAGGTGGGTACTCCGATTTCCCGTGCGCAGTTCAGCAGAAATAAACAGTATTCTCGCAGAAAGCAGAGGTTCAACTCTTTGGTGAAGTGCTGAGCCCAAACCATCCCTCCCGTCCGCTCTTGAAGTATCAGAGTCCCAACTTTGTACGGACCCTAAAGAAGCACTGGTCATCTCCTGCGGCGCTCCCCCAAGCCCGTTGTGCAGATGGGGAAACTGACACTCAAAAGGGGCAGGGCCTTGCTCTGTCACAAGCCAGTGGCAGGGCTGGGGCCAGACCTGAGGTCAGGGCTCAGTTCTTCACTCCCCGGTGTGTGAAACATGGCCCCCGCACACCCGAACCCCCTCCCCGTTCCGAGTACACGCAGCCCCCTCGTCCCCAGGCCCTGTAGGATTCTAGAGCCGCAGCTGTGGGAGCTTACGGAGGGCGAGCAGGGGGGATCCAGGACTCGGAGCCTGCCCCAAGATCACCAGGGAAGGGCGCGAGTGTGGGGGGAGAAGAGGTGACACCGGCTTAGTCACGTCCGAGCCTGGAGCGCGCGGAGGGGCCGAGGCCAGGGGAGGCGGGAAGAGCAACAGGCTGGGGCGCACGTTCGCGCGGGGGAGCCACCCCGGCCCGGCGCCTCCCCGTGACCCCAGAGCGAAGTTTCCAGCAAAGTTTCCCCGGCCTCGGCATCTAGTTGGGGAAGGCGCGGCCCCCTGAACCCCCTTTTCCAGGCCCCCAGGAACAAAGGAGGCACCGGGCCGCCCCCCGGGATCCCCCAGTTCCTACCGATTCGGCAGCGGCGGCGGGGGCGCCCACGAGGAGCAGCAGCAGCGCGAGCAGGCGGGCGAGAGCCATGGTACCGCGGTCCGCACAGGGCGCGCAGGCGAATGGCACGGGCGGGCGTGCGGCCCCATCTTATAGGCGGTGGCCGGCCC